GTGAGAAATACAGCGTGCGCTTTATTCCTGTCCAAACTCTTGGATATCCAGGTGGTTTGTTTCTGAGCAATGTCTATCCTCACTGGTGGATGGGTTCCAGATACCAGTGGGAGTGCTGAAAGGGATTATCTGATGCCTTGTGAAAGAAGGAAGCTCCCACATGAGAAATGAGGCCACATCCTATAGGCAGTGTGGGGCCATTAGTGAAGGTATTGCGAGCCTTGGAAGGGTATTGAGTAGGTGGGACTTGGGATGTCTCCAGTCCACTGCTGCAAGTCCTCTGATGCTGAGCCATTATAAGAATAGAGACCTGGTTGTTAACACTATGTGCTGATAGGTGGGATATTCAGATGTTGTTCCCCTCACTTGAGAAGCAGGAATTTTATGGATCTGCTGTCCCCAGAAATTTGGGGAATCAGTGAATCTTTGCACTGCTTTGAGAGCACCAGAAAATGGATTCTACTGGTGATTTCTGTTCATGCCTTGATTGCAGGATTGTTAGGTTTCAAGGCTTTGAAAACAATATTAAGGGCTTGCAGGGTTTTTGTGAAGGTGGGTAAAGGAAGCTCTTGTGACTGTTGCCATCTTTATGTTCTTCTCAGAGGGTGCAAAGAGATGGGGATAGGAGGGTTTTAGGAAAAGCCAACGGAGGGATGGGAAACAAGGCAGTTCAGCCAAAGGGATTGCCCTTATTGAAAATAACTTCCAAAGCAAAGCATTGTGTTATTTCTAAGGTTTGTGTTCAAAGCGGAGGGTTGGGCATCTTGATTCATGAGACATGTTCCTGTTCTACCTCTGGCTTAGGGTGTGTCTTCATATGAGCAATTATGCTGCTTATACCTCAGTTTCCCTTCCTGCAGAGTGGAAAGAAAATAGCTAAAATCATTTCAGTTTTGAGAAGCCTAAAACATTACTTTCTGGAAAGCTCTTAGAAAATTTCCCTGATGGAAGATGTTAGTTTAATGCAAGTGATGACGATGTTGGTAAAAAACAGATCACATCTGTTGTACTTGATGAAAATAGTACAGCAGCATTTCAGATGTAAATATTAATTGATTTCTGCACTGCAGATTTCTTCTTGGATATTTAAATTATTGCTAAGGAGGAGGGAAAGGCTATCAGGGAGATTAACAAATCCATTATTAAGGCTGGAAATGGAGGGTTGCCGAAGTGCCATTTAATAAAATGTAAAAAGCCCCTTTCTAAAGGGCGAAGCAGCAGAACACACAATGAAAGTGAATCACAGCTGCCAGAAGGGATGCCAAGCAGCAAGCACTTATAATCAGAAAACTGTACTTACAGATCATTCGGAGCCACTAAATTAAATGATCTCATTCTCCCCTAAAATACTCTTCCCTTAACTCCTCCCCCTTGTTGCCTGTGGATTGCTCCACCACATTTAAAATCTGACTTTGGGGGCTTTTTGGTCAGCAGTTGAATAGCATTGGGCCTCTTCGTGCTATTCACTTTCCACCCACTTTTGTTTCTGTCACATACAGCTCTGGCATTTTGCAGGCTGACCTGCCCACACGAGCACTTGGGATGGCAACTGAAAGATTTTGCAGATCTGCTGTGGCTGCACGGCTGGCTTGCCTCCTCTTTGGGGCTCTTTCTTTGGGAAGATGTCTCACAGTTTATTCTCAAATTTGTCTTTGTTTCATACATTTTTTTTTCTAATTGGACATTGTTTACTTCAGAAACAAAGACTTGGAAGCTGAGCTGAAGTGTAAATGCAAGAGCTGATCCTACATCATTTCACGCAGAACTGATCCTACCGTTGCTTCATTTCAGAGCTGTTTTAATTCGCCGTGTGTATCAGGGTCTCCCTCCTTCACACTGTTATTTTGTATATAGAACTTCATGAGGCTGACACTTGGATATGCTTCTAACCTACCCCTACGTTTTCCACCCATGGCTTTCCCTATGTAATCCCTAGAGTGGCACTACATATCTCCAAATGTGCCATCAGAAAAGCTAGTGGCAGTGGATGCTGACAACAGCCTGTTTTGCAGTGATTGTGGGGCTTCATTGTGAGTTTGGGAGTTGGAGTTGTGGGGTTTGGTTATTTTTAATGTTTAGCATTGCTAATCCTGAGAGGCAAATGGCTCTGTGGTTTTGAAAGCAGGTTAGAGGCAGCACAGCTAGAGCCCAGAAATGCTCTTGTGTTAACTTCACTGTTGCAGGGAGGTCTGTGCACCTGTGACCTTTTCACTAGTCCAAGATCATATAAGTAGTCCCAAAGACTGCTTAAATTTGGAATTTTCCATGTGCTTTTAACAGTCTGCTCTATGGGCAGTTTCCAGTGTAGAAACAAGAGATGGGGAGAGAGAGTACTTCCTTCCCTGAGTTCTTCCCCAGACAAAAGCCAGTCTTTACACGTGCTGTGGTCTGGCTGGGTGTAGGTACGTGAGTAGAGGCTGGGGCTGGGAGTCCAAGTGAGGGCTGGGGCTGGCTTTCCCACAGAGCAGAAGACAGAGGTATGTCCCTGGAGGTGTCCCGGCTTCCTTTATTCCTCAACTATCCCATCTTAAGAGAAACAAAACAAACCAACCCCTAGAGATTCAGAGATGAAAAGGTCTGTGTAAGAACTGAATAGTGGTATTATTTTTACCTCCATCAGCTGCAAGCCTGCAGTTTTCTGAGGAAACCTCAGAAATGGTGAATCAGCGAAATGTGTTTAAAGAAAAGTTAGCTACCCTGAATCCACTTTTTTCAGGCCTTCTCAAGTTGAATGCTGCCCAACTCCTGCAACTTCATCATGAGTCTCCTGATAGTTTGTGCTCTGCCTAAAGCCCTTGCACACATCATTAATTGACAATCTCTGCTTTTCTGGGTTTTTTTTCAAGGTACTTCTCCATCTCCCATTCTGATGAGGAATGCTTGCAAATGTAATCAGTCATGGCCTAAAGGTTCAGGCCCATGAAAATAATCCCAGTTAAAACTACAAAACAGTCTTTGGAGGGTTTCTAAGTCGGGATCAGTTTGAGACTCGGATTTTTACTATGAATGTTCTGATTCTAATTTTGAATGTTCTCTGATCATGTCCTTTTTGAGTAAGTAAAATATTTTGGAGACTGATATCATACAATTAAATGTTAACAGCTTTTTAAGCTCCATTACAGCTAATGTTGAAGTTGGTAAAATTCAGTCCCAGAATTGATCTGAGGATTTGTACCTGTATGAAAATCAGGATGTAAATATGTTATTAAAATGCTGAAAAGAGTGACCATATTGGCAAGTGTAAGTGTGACAGAATTCATTAAAATGTTGAGATGGTCACTGTTGTTACTTGTTAATGTGCTGCTTCAAGTGGAGTGAGATTGCTGCCTGTGGTATCGCTTGTCTGTGCTCTCAAAGGGCTGTGTTCACACTTAAAAATGGGTCTTGCTCCTCAGCCTCCCATCAGAAACACTGTTTCAGCCACTCCAGGTGGGAATTCCCTGAGCCTAGCACCTTGTCTTTAGTTACATCTCCACAGGTAAGATGTGGAAAGCTCCCACCCTGTGGAACATGCAGTTTTATCTTTTGTAGCCTCTCTGCTTCATCCTTGCCATAGGCAGTTCCACGTGTGGAAAGCCTGGGTGTTTGTAGGAGAGGGATGAAGTGGCTGCTGAAGTCGTGCACTCTAGGCAACTGCTGCCTTGCCCCCAGTTTGTTGGTAGAGTGTGAAGCTCTGGCCTGCAGGCTGCTGTGGTGTGCCAGCGGCTGCTGCCCACTGATGGCTTCTCCAGGTGGTGGTGGCCCAGGAGGAAGCCACCGTTTACTGCTGGGCATACAGACTGTGAACCATGTGTGGCTCTGGTACACTGGGAACTGCAAGTTGGCAGTGAGGAAGGGAGGGAGGACAGGGCAAACCACCACCTCCTCAGCGCCTGGGTGGGCATGGAGCCATCACCTGGAGTGCTGTGTCCAGTTCTGGGCTCTTCAGTACAAGAGAGACATGGAGCTCCTGGAGCAGCTTCAGCAAAGGGCTACAAAGTTGATTAAGGGCCTGGAGCATCTATCTTACGAGGCAAGGCTAAGGGAGCTGGGTCTGTTCAACCTCGAGAAGAGATGATTGAAATGGGACCTCATCCATGTATTTAAGGGAGAATGTGAAGAGAATGGAGCTGGACTCTTCTCGGTGGTGCTGAGCTATAGGGCAAGAGGCAATGGGCAGAAACTGACGCACAGGAAGTTCACCTGAATATGAGGAAGAACTTCTTTACTGTGCGGGTGACTGTGCACCGGAACAGGTTGCCCAGAGAGGTGGTGAAGTCTCCAACTCTGGAGATATTTCAGAACCATCTGGACACAATCCTGTGCCACGTGCTGTAGGATAACCCTGCTTGAGCAGGGAGGTTGGACCAGATGCCCCACCAGGTTGGCCTCTTCCAACCTGCCCCATTCTGTGACTCTCTGACCTCAGACCACCACCACCACCACCACCTCGGGGTCTGGGTGGGCGCGGAGCCCTCACCTGAGGCGTGAGGGCACACAGCCATCACCCCGGGAGGTTCATGTGCGTGTCGATGCCCCCACACGCTCCGCCGGTCCCTGGGTGCTCCCGGGAACTGCATTTCCCAGCCCGCCCCGCTCCACCCCGCCCGCCGTGAGCGCCGGGCAGAGGTAAACAAAGTGCTGCGCGGCGGCGGGCGGGCGGCGCCGGAGGGGCCGGTCCCGCCGCGGGGCTGCCTGGCCGGACGCGGCCCGGGGGTGGGATCCCGGCGGGGCCGGGGCTGGGGTAAATCTGGGCTGGCGGTAAATCTGGCTGGCGGCGAGGGCAGAGCCCGGGCGGGCGTGGGCACTGGGCAGGGTCAGGGATAGCGCTCGCGCGCGCCGCCCCGGGCGGGAGCATCCCGGAGCGGGTCCTTTCCTCCGGCATTTCCTCGCGTGTTCCCCTTGCCACCCCTCGCCCTCCCAGGAGAGCCGCCCCCCCGGGACGGTGTGACGAGGCCCGGGCACTGGGCAGAGACGGCGATCCCCGGCGCCTCCCCGCCGCAGCCGCCCCCGTCTCCATCGGGGGAGCCGGGAGCGTGGGGCGGAGGGCGGCCCGGGGCGGCCGGAGCCCCCGGCCATGGAGCAGGTCCAGATGATCAACATCCAGCGGCTGCTGGAGGCGGCCGAGTATCTGGAGCGAAGGGAGAGAGGTAATGGGGGGAGGATGGGTGCTGGGTGACAGCGCTCCGTGAGGGGAATAGGGTTGGGGTCGGATCCCCACGGAGGGGGGAGAGTGACCCCGGAATAGGGATCGGAGCGAGTGTTTTGCTGGTCGAATGCTGCTAAATCCCCAGCAGGGAAGGGTTGGATGAGGGATAAGACTGACGGGTCCTCTTGGAGGTGGTGGATGAGGTGGAATGTTTTTGCAGAGTGGGGGAGATTGAGGTGGATGCGATTTCTGGAAAGAAAAGGGGAGATTGGTGTGAAAGTTTTCCACTGGGCCGGAAGAATGGTGGTGGCTGGCTCTGGCTCAGCAGAGACGTCGATGGCACAGTGAAATATACCTGGTTTGCTCGGTTCAGATAGCTTGGGCAGGAGGAGGGAGATAAGGTACTCTCTGGACTGTCATGGGGGTTTTTTTGATGTTTTCAGTGCTTGAGTGGTGGTGTCTTTTCTCCAGGTTTGGCAGAGAAAAGACACCTTCCCCCTTTTCTCCACCTCCCAGTCCACTTCCCTGTGAATATATCATCAGTCATTTCCCTGAGTTTGTTGTGGTTAAGGTCCTCCCCAGCTAGGCCAACGGGTTAGTGCTGAGTCCTGCCTGCTGACTTTTTTCTTTTTTTCTTTTTTTTTTTAAATGCCCTGCCTGTTGATTTTCTTGCAGAGTGCGAACATGGCTATGCCTCGACCTTCCCCTCAGTTCCAAGCCCTGGACTACAAGACCCAAAGCCCACGCGGAGGCTGAGCCGGGCAAGGAAACACAGCGGCAGTGGCGGCATCGCAAGTCTTGCCAACAGGTATGAGGTGGGCAGGGCAGCACGGGGGACAGGGCTGGCAGGGAGGGGGAAGCTGGAGAAGAAAGCTGGAGGCAGTGGAGAGAAACTTACTCTCTGGGGAAAATGAGAAGAATCTGAACACAGGGGAATTCAGAGCTGGGACACACAAGTACAGCATCCATTCTGGATCCACAGTGCTGAGAGCAAAGGGGACACAGGGGAGCTGTGTCTGAAGTGACACAGCCAGCTGACGCTGTGCCAAGGCTCAGGTGCTGCAGAGGGAAGGGGGGATAAGGGAATCTGTCCATAGGGTTTAGGGAGGAGGAATGCAATAGCTATTCCTATTATATACAGCTGATATCTTTCCAACAAAGTCACTGCTTTTAAGGGATAGCGTGTGTGCAGCCTGGGTGCTTTGGGATTGTAATGACAGGCATGATTCGAAGCTAGGAAATGTTTTGAAATGGATCCCCTACAACAAATGGGAGAGAGGGAGATGACTGGCTGCTATGTACAACATGTTAAAAATTCAGTTCAGGAAAATGAAGCTGTCTTTCACTCTGCCTTACAGGGCAGTGGGATTTCCCAGTTTTTGATAGCTTGGTAATTGTAGAACTCTGTGTTTTTTAAATCTAGAAGAGGCAACAGGATTAAGATTACCACTTGGTGCTTTGGTTGGATCTGCCTCTTCCCTCTCATTCTTGTTCTTATTTTTGTTTGCTCCCTTCTCTAGAATTGTTTAGACCTTGTTGAGACCTTCTGGGATAGAGAAACTTTAGAAATGTAAAGTATGGTTTTGAAAAGGCATTTGCAAGCTTGCTTTTACTGCAGCAAGGCCCATGCAATCCATAAAATGGTGGCAGGTGGCTCAGGTGATTAAAGCTTTCTTAAGGCCATTGGGAAGGACCCGTAAAGGCCTAAGGGAAAGGTGCCTTTGCTTGCAGAGATTCTGCTTCGACAGCATTTGATAATAAAGGTTGTTTGAAGTGATGTTAGGACACCTTGCTGTGGGAAAGTTTTCTTCATCAGGATCAGCATATCTTGAGCTCTTTGTATGCTGAATGTTTGTATTTGCTTCCCTACTTCATCCAGTCTCTCCTGGTTTCAAGGTAGTTGTAGCCCTTTACTGTTTATCATGAACCAAAGTCCCCAATCTTTTGACTTTGTGTTGGAAAATGATGGCAAATGCTGAATTGAGGTCTGTATTTTTCCCTCTAGGTTTCCCACATACTATTTTTCCATCCCACACCTCTTTGTCTCAAAGGCCTTTGTCATGGCAACCTGCCCTTCTCCAGAGGAGGACTGGAAGCACATCCCCCTCAGGAACTCCTTAGCACTGAATCCAGCAGCCTGTAGGCTGGAGAGGGATGCAAAGTACTCCCTGTCCCTGGGGCCGGGGTGCTCAGCAGGCCCTGCCAGCACAGAGCCCCAGGCACAGCTCTCCTGGGGCAGCTCTGTGCTGACACCAGCCCATGGGGCCCTCGAGCCTGACAGCTGAATGTGTTGATGTGGGGGGAAAGGCAACAGAGAAGCAGAAAAGACACTTTCTAGTCTTATTTCACACCTTCTTTATACAAGCAATACTGAGACCAAATTGAATCTTTGGAGTGAGTGTGTTATCCAGAGTGTTGCCTCCTGTGCTGGTTTCAGCCTCAGGGAGTGACCAGTGTCAGGTCTGCTCGAGGCAGAGACCAGAACGGGTCTTTTGGGGAGCTCAGACCTTACATGCACGGTTGGAAATAGAAGTTTCTTATAGCACAAGTCGTAGCAGCTTGCATGTGCTGTAGGAGATGGCAGGCCTTCCAGATGGCTGAAGTGCTGGAAAGTGACAACTGTGAAGTTTAGGGTGCCTCCAAATTCACTGCAGTGTCTTTTGTGTGATGCTGAGTATAGCATCAGCCTTGTTTAAGGAAGGCTCTGTATCATCCCTTCCTGTTAAAATCAAAGGAGCAATTCAGTAAGTTCTGCCTGGTTGAGTTGAAATGGACTTTGAATTATATATCAAGTCCTTGATGAGGAACAAAACTTACATTTCATGCGTGGACAAGAGATTTTCTTGGATTGCTTTTGTCTCAAAATGTTTAATTAGTGTAGAGAAATTATGCATTTAGATCTCATGCAGATCTTGTCATTTAACAGCCTCCTGTAAAAATGTTTCTCGAGCAAGCTTGGCAAAGCACTGTTGGTATCTTTTTTTTTTTTCTTTATTTATACATTTTACAAATTGGCATGTGTACACTGTTGCTGGTCTTTATTGAACCGAATAATCCATGATTTTGTGGTGCAGGGTATTTACAGAGCCTAGATGCTCTTTTGATTCATAGTTTAAATCCAAGTATTTCACTTCATCATTTGCAGCCCAGACATGACAGCCATTTCCTCCCGACAGGCTCTGTGCTGTCATGGCACAAACACCCAGAAAGTTCTGAGGAAGGGGCAGCCCAACTCTGGATGGCAATGGTGGAGCAAATCTTATTCTTACAGAACTATGATGGTCTCCCAGTCCCAGCAAAGTAGTTCTTTTCTACCCCAAACAAGGGTGTGCAGATAAGAGGGAAAACATTGCTTCACGATTTCTAATTCAGATGCTGCATTTTTAAACAAGGTTGTTGTGGCTCAGGTTCTCTTTTCCTTTGCTTGTCTCAGTTGTACAACCAACAGCATGGAGATTGCTGCAAAGGAGTTCCCCTCTGCAATCCTTGTTACCTACATGTATGTGTAGTGTTTTGCATGGGCATTTGAAAGCCCTGGTGTTGCATACTGTGACTTAAAACCTGAATATATTTAAAAATACAGTTTTGCTTTGGTCAGGGAAATTCAGGTATGGAAAATTACACACCTTTGGAAAATATGTGGAGAATCAAAGTCATTGTGACTTGGCATTCATAATAACAAGGGAAGGTTTTCTTTAAAAAACCCCTGCTTAACACATAGCTAAAAGCAAAAAACCAAGCCAATCAATTAACCAACCTGTATTAAATTAGAATTTAATTTTGCCTCTATTTTAATTTGCTCTTGACAAAAGTATCTTCTGGTTTTTGGAATGGGATGAAAAATAAGCCGAGATTTGTTACAGCATGTAGTATCACTTATTTAATGTCAGTTTCTTCTGAAGATGTTTCTGAGACTGAAGCTGAATTCTTAAAACTTGCTAGAGAAGTTAAGTATACTGGGAGTACCGTTCTGTGGGTACATTAACTTGAATTCAATGTCACTGGAAACTGCTCTAATAGACCCAATTATTTGAAAAGGTCATTATAGTTAGTTAGGATTAGCCTGGTTTGATATTTATACATTTTGGAAAATAATTGAAAGGACTTTTTAATCAGTTTAAATCATTGTATCAGCAGGATATAAAATAAACAGCAGGGATGCTAAATGATTTTTTTCCCCCCAAAATACCATCAGTTTAATGAAGTTAAGATTTATAATGAAATCTGAAATTACGTTACAATATTAAGTCGTCATTTGTGTTTTGTTTTTATTTAGGCTCTCAGGCATGTAGAAAAGCCTGTTATTTTTTGGTCTGATCCTGGGGAAATGCCAAGCACCCTCCCAGCAGCACTAGGAGCCCTCAGCTCTCCCAGGAGGCCCATGTTGTTAAGGGCACTCAAAGAATCTATTGCTCAGTTCCATGGAGGAGGGTTTGATCTCTGTCCAGTTTCTTTTTCCTTTCATTTTCCTCTCTTCCCATTGTCCTCCCTTGTGTCTGAGACCACTTCCCAAGGGCCTTTCAGACATCTACAGTCTGGTAGCAGGTTGCCTGCAGAGCTTGGAGTCAGCAGCTGTAATGAGTATGGTGAGGCATTTTGGACATGGTGTCTTGAAAATCTGGGTGCCTGGGTTGCTTTGCCCTTCTGAGTATTCTGCTGATGCAACTCCTCATATTCTCTGTCGTTGCACTCTCCTCTGCCCCCTTTGAAACTTCTTCCGTATGCTTCTAAATCTCATCACTTGCTTTTGTGCTGAACCTTCTGTGTTGCCCTCTACTCTCACATCCTTTGAAACTGTCTTTTGAGGGCAGATATGGGGGCTGCACCATTGAAACCCTCAGGTATTCTTGACTTTAACCTTAATTTGCTCGGAGTGTCCCTGAGCAAGGAGTGGGGGGCAGGTGGGTGGGTGTGCATTAGGTACCTCGTGTGCCTTAGGCAGTGGCTTCATGCAGCACAGGTTCACAAACTGAAGCACAGGTTCACAGAAGCTGAAAGGATGTGGCATGTGTAGCTGCAAGTCAGCCTTGGCTGTCTGGTGCACTAGAAAGCCTGATTTACCACAACAGCAGTGCTGTGCAGCTGTACCTCGCTGTGCAGGGGAGGAGTAGGGGGGTTGGTGAACACTGCACAGTTTTAATATATTATATTTCTTCTGTCAAAGGAGGTTCCCTCCCTCCTCCCCCCACCCCCTCATTGTGCTGCTGACTGAGTACCTGGCAATTTTCAGTCCTTCCTACAGCCTCTGGAGTTAGGACAGTGCTGTAATTATGATTTTATTGGGGGAGAGGGTGTGCAGGTGGCTGAGTGGTTTGCCTGTCTTGTGTAAGAAATTCCAGAAAGAGCAAAATGCAGTGTCAGCTTGTCTTGGTCTACTTTCCTGCACAAAGCCTCTACCCCTTTCTTCACGTCCCGGAGAACTGGTCTCTGAGACTTTTTGTTGACAGCTGTCCTGCTTCCTAGGCTCTGTCAGTTTCTGGATGATACTTTGTTTATTTGCTTGTGAGTTGTTTGGTTTTGGGGATTTTTTTTTTTAATCATCTCGCACTGGATCACACCTTACTCCACAGCTAGTGGGAGCTAAGTTTGACTGGCTGTGTGTAGGTGGGTTAGAATCTGGCCCTTGTGTAATATGGTGGGGAGAGAGGCTGCTTTCTGCCTCAAGCCTTATAGTGCCAGGGAGCTCTATTCATGGCTCAGGACTTGGCTTTGCTTCGTAGAGTACAAATCCACACGTGTAAAACAGAGAATGGATGAGATTTGCTGTACTGTGTTTTGAGTTACGCCTCACTTTGATAATGTACAAAC